CGCACGCTGGGGCACTGCTGCTCACTGCGTCCCCATGCCAGGCAAGTGCTGAAGGTTGTGGGTGACCTTGGACTGCATAAAATGTGTCATCTGCCCGTGGCCCCTGCTGGGACGTGCTCTGGGCTGAACAGAGCATGTTCAGAGCGCACTGCTCTCCCCGAGGTTGCTGCTTCTCCTCATGATTTTTCTCAGAAAAACTTAGTGCAATTATTCTTTCACTATGCTCCTTCAAGACTGCTTTTATTTGGACACCACAACTCCCTTTTCATTCTTTCCACCTGCAAAGTGTCAGCAAGGAGGATTAATAGAAAGGCTAAAGAGGCTTTTATAAAGTTGATGATGCTGACGACACCCAGCTCTATTTTTGCTGATCTGGACAATACAGTCAGATGCAACAGCCAGCACTGGCAAAGACTGAGGTAGCTGCTTGGTGCTTCATCTGCCAATAAAGTAAATGATGATGCGCTGATGGAAGCAACAACCTAACACTGGCAATATTTCATTTGTCCTGCTGATAAGAAATACTTGTCATCAGTGGAATATCTAGGTGCCTGACCAGCTGTTCTTTAAAGATGAGGATTAGATTATTTCATTTTTTTGGCCCTGACCAAAATGTCCTGTCTTTTCCTGTGCTCGACCAAGCAGCTTTGGTTCCAAATGGGACAGCTGCCTGCTACAGCAATACACATTTTATTACTCACTTGGTGGCAGCAACTCTCACACTGATTTCTGGTTCTACTGTAACTGGCCTCAAGATTGCTGTAGTTCTCCAAAGTGTCATCTCAATCACCACGGTATTCTTGGCTTCCATTATGGCTCTGCTCTCCATGATTGCGCAGAACGGTGACCGTTGGGTTACCTGAAGAAGAGCTCATCTCGCCAAGCATAAAGCAGCAGAGCCCCTCGGCACAAGGAGGAGGAAGCTCCGAGTGGGAGCAGGGAGCGAGTGCCGGGGCCGTGCGAGGCGCCCGGCCTGTTCCCAGGTTGAGCCTGGCCTGCGAGTCGCGCTCTGCACCAGCCTACAGTCTAAGGGGCTCCAGCCTGAAGGGCACAGCAGTCACCCGGGGATGCAGGGCAAGGGCATTTAGGGCTTGCACTAGGCTTAGGATGGGGTGTTCAGAGGAAAGACCAGAGGTGGAGAAAGGCAGGGATCAAGGTAGTTTGGGGAGGAACAAGCATGGGAACACGTCCTCTGTAGGTCCACCTTCTCCCCTGCTACCAGCCACAGTTCCTCCTTTTCTACTTCCTGGCACTTACTGCGCCCTAACTCCAAAGAGCTTTCAAACCTGGCAGTCAACCACAACTGATAAAGAACTTAAATGCAAGTAAAAACGCATTCTCATTTTTTATAAGGCAACTCTCGTTTTCAACACCTATCTACAGAGGAACAGAGAGCCTGTTTCTCCTAGCGAGCTGCCATGCCAAGCAGCCGTGCCCTTTGCTCTGTGGGAAGGCACGAGGCCACACAGCACCCCGCGCGGGGAGCAGCTCCTCAAGAACATCTGCGATGGTCCCTGCGGCCAAGCACCCACAGCCCAACCAAAAGTGAGGAACTTGGCCCTTGTTAGGGTAATCACCCATTTCTTGGTAGGATTCATCATCTCCTCTAAACTAATCAGCATTATTTGCAAAGCACACAGAAAGTTGTTTTTTTAAAAAAACAAAGGTAACTAGTGGGGAGAGATGAGGACAAAGTGACATTTCTTATGTACCCAGGGATCTCCAGACAGGCTAAATGAAAGGATGGCTTTTAACTTATTTAATGTTTGGCCCAAATTGATCTTTCATCCTACATACATCTAAGAAATGTTGTGGCTTTTTTTTTCCACCACTTATGGGAGTTTCAGATTCTGCCCTTTTCCCCCAGCAAAGTAAATGTCAGCACTGTGAAGCTCTGAAAGCTCATGCTGAATGTCAGAAACATTGAGACCTGTAGCTTAGAAGCCTTGAACTTTTAGACCATAAAAGCCTTAATGCCTGGCAAGTGCACAGTGTGTTATAACTCGGAAAATGTCAGGAAAGGACAGATGAGGATTCCTTGTAAAGGGAGTGGTGAGAAAGCCTGTCCAAAGCGGCATGTAGCCCCCCAGGGCACACTGAGGCAGGCAGGGGCGGTCAGTGGCACCTGCCTCACGGCAAGACGCTGCTGCCTGTGCAATGGGAGCCCCTGGTCTAGCAATGCGGAACAGCGGCTGCCCGAGACAGGAGCAGGGAATATTGTGCAAAACCAAGGAATGACCAGAAACTACTGCAAGGAGAGCCATAGTTAATGATGGACCTAGCGACACACTGACCCTTTCAACTAAATTATACGGGACCCTCAAGAGAATAACAAGAACTAATAGATTAAAAACAGGTTCAGTCATCATCTGCTTTTGCCCATGGACACAGCAGTTTACCAAGCCATACTAAAAGTGAGTAAACATTTGCTTTTCCATGGAAGGAATGATCAAGCTAATATGAAGTATCAAATTGAAATTTCTGTTTTGGCTAATTTTATAAACTTGTGGATATCAAAGTCATTTTAGTTATTTCACCTATGAATGTGCTGGAGATTCCTAACAAACTGATTTAACTTTGAAGTTAGCACTGCCTGGAGCAGCAGATTGAGTTGAGGGACCTCCAAGAGACCCTGTCAACCTAACTCCTCCTGTGACTGCTGTCCCGTGGGCTTCACACAGGCTCCAGCCCCACTCCCACTGACCACGAGGCTGAATTGCTACCGAATCCCATAGCGCACACTTATTTAGTACTCAGCCAGGTAGACTGGCTTTGGCTTTGGCTTCATCAGGCCCCAAATTCCTGCCACCTGAATCACCCTGGCATTGCAGTGGGCAGGAAGGGCTGATGTTCTAGACAGCAGCATATATTGGAATTCAAATAAAGGGTTTAATATCCTGCAACAAGCTCACTTGAAAAAGTGCTTCTCAGGTTTATAGAGCCTTCTGTTTATTTCAATGGAGATATGTGAACTCCTTTGACAAGCACTGGGTATTTTTGTTTGCAAGAACACAGGACAGAGCCGCTGGCACGGGACACACGACACCCACCACATGTCAACTATCTTCCCGGCCATGTGGGCTCTCCATTTCACGGACTGCTTTGCTCACACCCCTCGAAAGAGACATACACTCTTCTTTTCTCTGAGACTCACAATCCTAGAGAAAGCCTGAAGAGATGATTTGCCTGTGTCCAGCTATGAGCTCTTCAAATACAGCAGAAGTAATTTTGCTACTTACTACACAAGCTCCTGAAACTTAATCAAATAAAAGTGCACAGCAATACAATAATAACAGAACTATAGTCATGCCTTTTGTTTACATCCTTTTGCATATGTTTTGCAGTTGCTCATGCATTATAAACTGAAAGCCTACACCGTCTCCTTTTGGATTCTACCAAGGGAAACCTTCAAGGGTGAGTGGGCAGAGTTGACATTTAATTTGTCTCAGCGTCAATTTACAGTAGGAATACAAAACTGCATCTGTGTCACAAACAAAATATGAAAACTATGTATTTATATGCACAAATAGTTACCTTGATTTATCTTAAAAATGGGTGTAAGATCCTATTTATACACTACTTATGCTGATAAATTGTATGCTGGAGCATAAACAACATACCACACAAAATGTGCATACAGAATAGGAGCAGCTAACGGCACCGAATATTTCTACCCATTTTTGTTCCTTAAACCATGCTGAGATGCTTTCTTGGAGGCCAAGATGTGAAGAGAGCAGCGTGTAAGGTCTAGCGCTGTGGGATAAAGAGGTGCTCATTTTGGTTCCACTAGAGCTGTCCCATTACAGCCTTGCCTGGCACCTCATGCCTGTGTTGGACCTGCAGTTCAGAACCAGTCAGTTCTAGGAGGTAGGAAATCTTCACACTCATTGTTTGTTCAACAGACAGTCCCTATGTTCCATTCATAAGGGAATGATTAACAACATTTGCTTCCTCCTCCCTTTTTCCCTTCCTTTCCTTCCTGTCATGGCGGAACCAAAATGTAGCAGCGCTGAGAACTCGCCGAGCTGCTGCTCTGCACTGCTGAATGGAGCACGTGAATGAGGACGGGGCAGCTGGGCAGACTACAAAACTGCCATCTGAAAACCGAAAGCGAACCCCAGTGTTTGTGGAGATGCAGCTAAGTTCAATGGGATATACCAAAGGTAAAGGGATCACACTGTAAAATCAAGGTGTTAGTTTTTGATAATATGCCCTTAAAGTCTAGGGTCTGTTGAATTTCCTATTCTCGATAAGGTTGTAAAGCTTTATTGGATTCTATATGGTGCCCTGAAAATAAATAAGAGAGAGCACAATTAAAACCTCTATGCCAAGAGCTACACAAGCTAAGTGTATGGACATCCACAGTAAATCCTTAAGTTGAAGTGCTATATACAAGGAATCCACCCTTAATCACTTGGTTCTTGCAGCTCCAGAATGCTAATCAGTTCCCGACTGTTTTTTTTTCTTGATTATTTTCCACTTTCTAAAGCAAAGGGTTTTGATCATTTTAATATCTGGAACGTTTCTCTATGAATCTAATACGAAACTTCACACCCAGATTGAAATCTATACTTAGCCTGTGGTGCTCACCCTTACTATCTGCTTCATATGCTTGTTTATCCTTTTCCAGGTCCTTTTTCCTCACCAAAAATGTAAGCATGGCAAAAAAAACCCCAGTCACTGGATCTTTTGCAGTCTTGTGAAGAGAAAATCCCAGTTCATAGAGATGAATTAACATAGTTTGTTGTGAATTCTAACCATCCACTGATCATGCAGGTGTATGCAAAATAGTAACAACAATGAAAACCTACAATTAGGGAGACAAATGAGAAATTACTGCCAGATCAAAATTTGCAAGTAGATGTGAGATTATTAAAATACACAGTCTTAAATATGATTTTTACTAAACGTAACACAGTTAACAAAACTAACTGGAATTTCAATACAAGCAATTTTTTAAAACACTTCTTATTATCAGAAAAAAAAAGAAATAATTTTACCTGGCGCGGGGTCCTCTCCGATTTGCTCCGGCACCATTCCCAATCAGTGAGTTCAGGCTTATGGCTTTCCTCATGGGACAACCTTCTTTCCGGTCCTTCAAAGAGCGCTGGCTTCTCCAAGGCGCGGGTCTCTTCCCCTCGGGAGGCGTCGTGGCTCTCGTCGGGGCCGGGGCCGGTGTCGGTGCCGGTGTCGGTGCCGCCGCCGCGGGGGCCGCCCGCCGCCGGGGCCGCGGTGCCCGGGGTGGCCTCCCCTGCCGTCCGGGGCTCCGGGCAGGCACCGCAGTCGTAGCTCACCAGGTTGTGGTAGGACACGGATTTAGCACCATCAGCCTGATGGTGGTTCTCGTGGGAGATCTTGTAGATTCCATACCCTTGCTGGAAAGACAGGTTGAACTCAAAACCTCTCCGTTTGGCTAAACACAAAAGAGACAAAAGAGACAAAAACAAGCAGAAAAATTAGATTACACATAAAAAGTAAATTACATTCTAAGACACAAAGTAATTTATTTTGTTACAACTACCAGGAAGTAATTTTCTATCTATAAAAAAGTATAAACTGTTGAGAAGAAAGATTTCTTAATTATTAAGTTACGGCGTTGCTTTCTTAATGAATTCAGAAATAATGCATTCCAGAGTTCATGGGTCCACAGAAACTGGTAGATTAATCTGCCATTTTCAAAAACACATTGGTTGCAATGCTAACCAGGTTCACACAAGAAGAAAATAGTTAAATTATGGCTCATTTTGTGATACAATTTTATTTCAATTCTATTTCAACTATATACCTAAAGTAGAAAAATTGTACAAAGTGATAAAATGTATTTCTGAGAATCGATAACTATCCTTCAACGTGAACAGTCACATAAGAAAGAGAGTTCTACAATGAAAGGTAAGTAGCTGAAACTTCTGTATATTCTTCATTCTAAATTCTGTGCTTCAGGTAGTTAGTCTTACACAGAAGTTGAACAATTAAATTTCTCAAATGTCACTTATATCCCTTCACGTTTCCTTGTTTCTAATACAAATTGCCTTAGATTCTTCAGGCTCGTGTCATCTTTTCATCACCTTACTCATCTTGTGAAATTATGTTCCTTCCAGCTCTATCATTGCTACATTGGAAAAGGTATAGAAATACCTTGTGTTAAAGCTTGAGAAAACCTGAGACCTTTAGAATAAAAGACTAGAATACTAGGATTATTTTAAATTATAACTGTTGCTTTTCCATCTGCTGTATATTCTGACTCTAATATTGCACTAGATGCACCAGGAATAGGCTGTCCTCCTGGTGAACTCCCGCCATCCGCTCCGGCTAAGCGGTTCAAGGGTCATGGGCAGCAGCAGAAGTCATTCCGTGTTCGGAGACGTGTCCGAAGGCCAGAAAAAATAGTTCCAGAGCTTCAAATTATTACAAAAAATTCATTAACAAAAGCCTGGCATCCTCTGTTTTACACATATACCAGTTAAATGTTATACACATGCAGGAAAATCCTTTTAGGCTAAGTGTTTGGCAGGTCCTCAGCTTTCAACAAGTTACATATGCACCCTCCCCACCAAATCACGACCTTTGGTGTTTGCTTATTGGCATCACTGTAATTTCTGCCCAGCATCTATAGAGCAGGTGCACAAACAATAGATCCTCTCCTCCTTTTAATTCAGGAACATGAAGTTGCTCACAATTAACCTTTCCTTTTTTTCCTCGCAGCATTAAACATATTCAGTGTGGTCGGTGTATTTGATTAGCGCTTTCTGCCAGACTTCAGTGGATGTATCTTTCCCAGGGTAGGACAGGAGAGAAAAAGTAGGATTCAGATTCATTTGTTCTGCTAAAAGATCTGCCAGCGAGTTGGGACAATCCACCCAGCAAAGCAGTGTTACTGACACTAACTTCCTACCCTATTTACTACAAGGTGTACCGCAGCTGCGGGCCTGGTCCCGCACTCACTTTTGAGCTCCTCCGAAGACACAGCGTACACGCTCCTCCTGCAGTTGATGATGCAGCCACAGGGCAGGTGGATCCAGTGCTCCGACAGCACGAACACTGGTGTGACTGTGGCAGCCAGCAAGCTCAGCAGAAAGGTAAGGGTCTCGAAGGAGAGGCTCCGAAAACCGATGATGTGCTGGACAACCATCTGTATCTGCAAGGCAGAACATTCAGAAATATAAATACCTTCAAGCGCATGATATATTGCCAGGGAGAGGCAAAATATCTCACCATGAATCTGACACAAGTAAAAGTCACAGGTTGTTACCCATGAAAATATGCTGAGCCAAATAACTGTCTGTCTAAAAGAGCATAACCAAAAACATGGCAAACTCCTTCTCATTCTGCATTTCTCAGAAGACCCCCTGCTTCAAGTTAAATGTAAGTACAGCTGCCTGGGAAAGATTAAAGAAGCAACTCACATTGCAAGTCCCCTCTTAAAAAGGACAATAAGTGGCTCCTGCGTGGTACCAAACCCCCAGTTCCCCATGGGGAGCAAGGACCTCAGCCCGCAGTGAAGTGGGTGGCTGGGCTGCGTACGGCCCTCGTGCAGCTGAGAGGGGCGCAGAGGCTGCGGCACCCAGGGGGCTCAGCGATATCACTGAGCAGGAGCCTTGCTCACACTCTGAACAGACTCCTTCCCTATGACACGGGGATGTATCTGTTCACAAGGCTCCTAGTTCATGCATATGGACAACCCCTCAAAATACTACAGAGATTTTACAAAAGACACAAAAAGTCTTATTTTTTCAAACAATTCCTATTGCTTAACCAATCTGCGAGTCAGAGCTGCGAGGTGGGGCAGCAAAGCTTGCTTAGTGTGATGCACAGAGCTCACAGCACTGCTCAAAGGCTTCCCAGAGGGCTGGAAACACAAAGGGACGGACTCCATTCACCCCTGCATTCAGGTGACACAAATGCCGGCAAGGCAGAGCAGCATACTGATGAATCAGGCTCTGGCAAATGCGCTGAACGCCAGTTCAATTCACATAGCGTGACACAGATCTGCTCCAAAGCACTTCTGCTGGCACAGGCTATTCTATAAGGAGTAACTACTATGTCTCCTGTTCGCCCGTTTCAATTCACACCACGTGAACTCGCGCCCCACCTAGACCCACGTAGCACTACAGAGGAAAGCAAGCTGACAAGTTACCATCATGGGAAGCCAGAGAACGGCCTTTGTCAAGGCGAGGATGAGCGAGAAGCGCTTCTGGGCGAAGGCCACGGCGCAGCTCCTGCTGGGTGAGCTGCCGGCGCCGCGCGGCCCGGCGCCCTCGGCCACCCATCGCGCGCCCAGCGCCTCCGCGCCCGCGTGCGCCTTCCCCAGGTGCTTCAGGGTTTTATCCACAGGGTCCTCCGGCGACAGCGAGGGGGTAGCGCTGCTGCAGCCCGCCGGCGTCGCGGGGCTCACGTGGCCCCGAGAGATTTCCTGGTAATCGGTGTACAATTGCTGCTGCTCGTCTGAGCACAGCAGCTGGTAAGTTAGAGGGACCGCAAGCACCGTGAGGAGGCAGAAGCACAGGGAGTAGACAGCAAATAAGAACAGGACGTAGGAGCTGGCAGAGTCCAGGAAGCAGCCCCAGGAGGTGGGCATGTAGCTGCCCCAGCCACAGAGCGGGAGGATGCAGATGAGCAGGCTGACGATCCAGGCGGTGACAATGGCCCACATCATGCTCACCGGCCGGCTCGAAGCGCTGCGGCTCCTCGCCACAGTTTTGTTGACGGCGTAGAAGTTGTAAGAAACTATAAGAGACGCTTTCAGATTGCTAGAAATACCCTGGAATAAATATATAAGCGCCGAGGTGGTGCACAGAGGCTGGGGGAGCACATCACTTGACCACTGGGTGAGCATGAAAATAATCACTGGCGCTGTGCTGATCAAATCATCTATTGACAGCGAGGTCACGATCATTGCCACTGTGGTTTTGTTCTGCATTTTCAGAAGGAAAACCAGGGAGTAAATGCTGCCCAGCAGCGCTGCAAATGTAATGATGAAAGTCAAGCAGAAGAGAAGGACGTTCCAAGTTCTCTGCTCACTGGGCTTATCCATATCGCTGTGATTTTCAGTGAAGAAGCTTGTCCCATTGAGTGATAAATTACCAGGCATTACCGACATCGTCCTTGCCAGGACTTCTGCTTGCTGCCTCACTGACTCTGCAAGTTTTCACTAGCAGAAATTGTAACTGCTAGCTCCACATCACAAGTTTCTTTGTTTTCCTAAACTCTCTTTTGCGGCATTTGATGAGGAAACACTCAACGTAAGCATCCCCGATAACCACAACAACTCATGCTCTCCAAAGATCAGGCAAGAATCAAACACTGAAAAAAATGCAGTTCTTAATTTAAAAGACATCTAGGTTTGACGTAGTCCTCTATAATCCTTTCAGTAGCAGAAGATGGCTAATTTAGGCTCCTCAGGTAATAACACGCCATTCACTTTTACTGGGTATCAGGCGACGTGCTTTACTCACGAGTTCAGTTGCATGAAGGTAGCATTTCAGGTGTGCTGAGGCTCGGGGAGAAAGCCGGCGGGCAGGAGAGGCTGTTTGAGTCCCGCAGGAGGGAGGAGTCCGCGCGAGCAGGATAGCGGGGATGAGCGGGGCGAGCGTCTGCTCGGAGGGAGCTGGCTCGGGAGGCTGAAACCGCGGCCCCGCTAAGCCACACCTCCGATGCTGACACCGAAATCCAATGCAAATACTCAGATCTGATGTCAGCCGTGAGTGTCATTCCCGTAAAGCCCACGGCTGCTCCGGCTGTGCATCACAAGCTGGAGCTGCTTTTGTTCCCCTGCATTTCTGCGCCCTGGGCTCCAGGAGCGCCTCGCGGAGCCGCCGCAGGGTGTGTCTGCTCGGCCCTCTTGCATCCCGGCTCCTGCTGCCAGCGAGCCCAGGACACCGGCTGCGGAGCTGCTTAATGACAGCGTCTCAGTGGTGACACTTAGAGCCATGCAAATTAACACGGTGTGACAGCGCGGCTCAGCTTGGGGCTCACAAAACTTCCATGCCCCACGATCCAAATTCAAGCAGCATTGACTGCTTGCTGTCTGCTCTGACCAAATGCACTGAAATCATCCCAGCCAAGTGCACTTTGGTACCTGAGAACGTTCTCTCTTCAAAAAGACCACACTGAACAAACTGCTAAACCCACAAAATGGAGAGCATGGGCAGGTCAGTTCAACGCTATCTTCTCTGCATCTCCATCCTGCTCAGCATGACCTGGCATTTACCTACATTACACTAACACCCTTCAAGCAACAGCTGCACAGCTGTGGTGTCTTCTCATTTTCAGGGCAGGGTTTGGCTAGAGGTGATTCTCAGCCCCAAACAAAGCAAGAGCAGGAGGGAAGGCACAGCTGCAGCCTGTGGCAAGAGCCCTCGATACAAAGATCTGAGCCAAGGAAGGGAGAGATACCAGCAATGCTCACGTAGCCAAGCAAGCTCTCCTTCGTTCCCCGTTCTCCGGATGCTCTGCCATGGCACCAAGAAGGCCTATGTCCCAAAGCAGCCAGGCTGTCTACTCAGCTGGTACAGTCACAGATTGGTCCTGGTCACACGCGCTGACACGAAGATGCGCTGTCCCTGCCTCTCCCTTCTCCTGTTCACACTGCAGCTGCCTTCGTCTCGATGCCTCCACACTATTCATCACAACAGGCCGCCAAGCTGCATGTCAGAAATGTGCCATAGAGGAGAGCAGCAGCCATCCTGTTCTCCACCCAGAGCACAGGCTGGACCATCTATCCGGCCTTCAACTGCACAGGATTTGACTTGGCTTCTGTGATTTATCTGTCCTACTGGAGTATTGATTGTTAATCTGTGCTATGCCAGCTAAAGGCCAGGGCTCGTTTCCTTCTATTTACAAATCACAGTAACCTCTGTCCCTGTAAGGCCACCTTAAATGAAGGACAGTGTTCTAAACCTGAAGATGAACAGTGGGAGCCTGGGCAGAGGCACAGCCAAGGGACAGGAAGGGAGAGAAGCCCCGTTCACCCCTTAGCCTGCTTTCCTCAGGAGGAATGTGCCCATAATGTCCATCAGTATGAACACATGTGAAACTCCCCACTTCTCTCCCACTCCCAATCCTTCCAGGCCCCTGACAAACCAGTTATTTTCAGGTAATCTCACACTGTCAAAGCTATTAAGTTCCCACAAGGTTTTTTGCAAATTAGCAGCTGATCAGAGGAGACAGTCATGTGGCCTTCCCAACCAGGAAGATGACTGCAGCCCAGGTCCACTCTTTCCTAGAGATCCGGGGCCATAAAACAGAGATTATATAAATACCACAACCATTAAAAAAGCTTCGTTTTTACCTTATTGGAAAGTAAAGTCAATTAACCTGTGTGCTGAGCTCTGGGTCCCCTGAGTATGTGTCAGCATGGCTGGACATAGCCTTTGCTCTCTGTTATATAAACTATACACACTACAACCATTCCATGGGGACACACTCAAGGTCTTAGCAGTGATCGTTTCCTCCTCTGTTTATCTTTCTTTAAAATGAGTGATAAATTCTGATAAAATAAAACAAGTACAGAATGACTTGTTTGATCCTAAAATTAAAGGCGGGATTGAGTTGTAACAGGAACAAGGGATCCCATGACAGAAAGCTGGTTTCCAGTAGAGCAGTGCCCCCGAGTCACTGGCTTGAATGCCCAGCCGGTTCTGGGCTCTGGGGCAAATAAATCGTAACGACATTCCCTGCTGTTCTTCAAAGGATGCACCTGCACAGCAATCTTTCAAAATTTACAAGAACGTTGTCATTATAACTGCTATTCCTCTCTCAAACTTCATTAAAACGTGCGGTCTGCTCTGAGGGCACAGACTTACATAGGGCTGGGGGTGAGGAGGACGGGAAGGCAAGCAGAGATGCACACAGTGGTGTCACAAAATAAAGTTTCTAAACGAACAGGGCTAAAGTGCAGTAATACAGCACTGAGAAAAAGCCACAGTTAATGATCTTGCAGAAACGAAATGAAAGAGTAAGACACCTTTTGCTGGCACTATGTCCTTGGTTTGGATCATGCCCAGGAAGGCTGGATTTGTAGACTAGGCTCCTTGCCGCTTATTTCTTTTATTCTCTGTATTTAACCTGCCACATTACTGGGGTTCCTAATACAAGTGCTGTCCTCTGCAATATAGAAATATATTCCTTTTCACGGAGTGAATTCATTGGGCTAAAGAATGATCACAGAGAGAAAATGTATTAGACAGAAAATCTCCTCCCCGGCCTCATTTCAGACAGCACTGCACAACACTGTCTCCTTAAAGCAAGAGCCAGCAGCACTCAACACCCTATGAACAGATTTGCAAGAGACACCCTGCATGCAGCAGTTCAGCAACGCCTGTGAAGGGAATCAAATATTAATCATTCATAAAATAGATTCAACAAATAGGTTATTAAAAATTTATCCTATTTAGTGTGAGTCACATTTTATTTTCCTGTCTTGCAACAAGCTAAGCTTTGACTTACCATTTTGCTTTCTCTTGTCGCTCAGGATTGACAAGGTTATCACAGCAGCTGTATGACTCGTTCATTTGAGAAGGTGACATACTCTGTGTTGGACACTAAGGTATATGTACTGAAGTTCACAAATGTTTGGGTACACCTGTTCATAAATGTATGTTTTCCAACAGCGTCTAAAAGAAAGTGGTTTGTTTCTTCTAGATTTTAACACATTTTAAAAAATATGTGTAGCTAACTGGCCATTTTTGGTCCACTGGATTGAGCTACAAAATGATAAAATTGCAGCTAATTACTCCATCTATTTGTCCCAGAAGAATTAAATCAAGGATGGCTTCTAATAAAAGGTAGATACTATTATATTTAATCTGTTTCCACTGCACTTGTATTGTTGTGCTGTAGAAAAATAGTGCTTAGCAGTTTGGAGCAATTAAAGCAGTGTAAGTCAGGAGCAATTCTACTAAACCAAAAAACATGATTTTAACTTATATGCTCACTATGGGCTAGACTGCAACAGCTTTAACTCGAGCGAAACAGAAACTTGCTCCGCAGATATGACCCCTTTTGGAGTCAATGGATTGTGGCTATTCTGTTTTCTGTCCCCATCTGGCCCTAGGGGCGCAGGACCCCATAAGCAGATGTGCTACTATTACAGAACACCCATTTTCAGATCTCAGTAACTTTTGTTTTTTACTGCTATACTGTAAGCAGTAGAAGGAGACTCCAGTGAATTCTCCCTTTTGGGGAGAATTGCGGGAGGCCGCGGAGTGGCGTGGAGCCCGCCGTGCGGGATGCCCGGCTGCCCGGGCAGGGCACAGCTACGTCCTGAGCTCTCCCCCTGCGCTTCCCAGCTCTACAAACAGCATGTTGGTGCACAGCGAAAATTCAGCAGGTTCCTGTTAAAGAAGACGTCTGAGATGAGAAGGGGCGCAAGTTACGCTGCCTGCAAGGGCCAGCGCCCACACGGGCCCTTCTTTGGGAAATGCTCTGTTTTGCTGCCCAGCCCTCCTGGCAATGGGGCACTCCTAATCCGCCTCTATTGGTCTGGCTGTGCCCCATTGGAGGACAAGTCCACCAAATGTAACCCTGTGGTCTATAATCACCCCTAATTTGGACACTGTTAAATGTATTTAGTGGGGAAAAGGCGCCTGCGGTGCGGCAGGGGCTGGCAGCAGCAAGACCGCGCGGCTGGGGACGGCAGCACCGACACAGTTAAGCAGGGAAGGCAAAGAGCTGCAAAAAACACTTAGCCCTTGCGGAGGGGGAGGAAGGGAGGGAGGAAGGCACCTGCCCGGGAGTGACCTCGCTGCGACCCTGTCCAGAGCAGCAGGAAAATCAGCTCTTGGTGCAGACCTTTCTCCAACTGTAATAAAATTAATGACCACAAGAGCCATTCGTAGCACGATTTGCACATTTCCCTGCCCCCTGCGTGGTCCAGGCTGTCTTGGCTCTTCATTTCCTTTTCCCTTGCTCCTTCCTCATCGCTCCTGCTAACCTTCAGGGCAGGCTGAATGCCGAGACCAGGAGATCCAGCCTCAGGAGCTGCAGTCACCACAGCGAAGTGGAACTTCAAATGCTCCCTGCAAAGCCTTGGAACCTAATTCTGCTCACAGAGGGGCGAGAGCCTGTATGTGCTGTAACAGCTGCTTTTACCTTTTACCTTCTATC